CCTAAGTCAGTCCACTTCTGCCAATAGCACAAAGCCGTAGCTTACAGTTCTTCAGGCTGCAAGTGCCAGGTAAAGTTACAGGTGTTCGAGGTCAGGGGAAGGCATCCTTGCAGCTCCCTCACACGGTGGAAGAGCAAAATGGACTTAACAGATGGAGAGCACACCCAGTCCTCTGCACCTCCTGTATGGGGTCCAAATAACACTTGCAAAGGTTCAGTCCTCCTGTGTCTTTATTGCCTCCTACAGGCCTGAGTCTTGATACGGATTTTTTTTTTCTTTTCAATCTGGAGAATGAAATTAAGAGAAGTTTATTTTGGTGCAAACAATTTTTGAAATCCATACATAGTTTTGTTTTCATAATACATTTCTTTGTGAATCCTTATAAAGACACTTGTATGCAAAAAGTTTTTGCATCAAAATAAACATTTTTTAAAAAGTTCTTTTCTTTTCATAACTTTTTGAAATATCTTTACACTATAACACTGACAATTAAGTTTCAGCAACCGAATTTTGGGGAATACATTCAGACTATAGCATATGGTCACCATGACCCCCTTATAGGATTATGGGAACATTCAACGTTCTCGTATATCTCAGAACCTTGAAACTGTCTAAAAGAGAGAACTTAGAAAGGTATATTTCATTAGTATAATTATTGTTATGGCACATGAGCACTTTGTCAATGTTACAATCACATTAACTCTTGTAGAATCTCATCATTAACAAGTTTAGAGTTGATATGTATAACCCTCCATGGAGTATTTGAAGATATTCTGATAACTTTTCAGCCCTCAGTAATTTTTCTTTACAGAGCAACACCGTTTCATTGATTTTTCTTTATAGTCTAGCATTACATATTTTTTTAAGAACTGCAGTGCCCTGGCTGGATTTGCATGCTGTTATCAGGCAGATATTCAAGGGTTCTACCAGGGTGACCAGCTGCTTTCCCCAGTGTCTGGACCCTAACCACATGTTATCAGAGTGACTTGTTTTTGGAGAAACAGAATGACACTGATGCTTCTGTTCATTGTTGGATAATGATTAACTGGCTGTTATTTGACAAAATAGATGACAGCTGGTCATTATCTGGAGCAATAAGAAAAAAGAAAACTCCTGCTGATTTTGTCTTGGTTATGCCTTCCATCACACCCTTGCTCCCAGAGGGAGAGCAGCCTTAATTGCCAGCCGAAGCCAAACCTAGTTGAACAGACTGATTTGTCTGCACTAAAGGACTTAACTTGCTGCCTTACCTATGCATTTGTTAAGTTAAATGCAGAACCTTCTCTTTGTCCTCAGCAAGGAAAGGTTTAGAGAAAGGAAACTAAGACTTTTGCCCTGCGGAGCCATTAAGGCTTTGGCATGTGGGAGTACTATTCTGTATTACCACTGAAAACTTCCACCTCCCAACCCCGAGCTGTTGTTCTGTCTGTGCTTTGGAGTGGCTCTGCAACGGAGCTTGATCCAGTTTCTTGTCCGTCGATGTGTTATTAACATGGCTTTGAACTCACTGGCAAGATGTGCTAGTGCACCATCTGGCAAAGGCACAGCCTCTGTGATCAACAAACAGCACTTCCTGGGAGAGTCAGAGGATTAAGCAATTACAGATTTCAGAACCATGGATGGGGTTGGGGGAAATGATGTTCTATTAATATCACCATCACTGCACACGGCTGCTTGGGGTCTTCCTCTTCCCTGCTGTAGCTCTACCCAGAGCATGACGAAAATCTGGATTTGAAAGCAGAGAATACTCATTTTTAATTTTTTTTTTGCATTTCTTCCATAACTGTCAAATTTGAACTGCCCCTGAAATTTTGCTCATGTTTTTCATGAGCTCTGTGGCATCTGAGCATAGGAAGATGAAAAGGATTTTTTCTTAATATATCAATTTTTGTTTCCAGAAACCTGGAATGTAGCCAGAAAGTCACATTTTTAGCTTCTGCTTGTTTTACCCCCTTTTTTGTCTATTTTTTTCCAAATAAAATTATGTGAGTACAGCCACCACGTAGAATGTCAATATCTTACAGGCGTACAAGAAATGTCCCCTGTGCTGTTTTCAGAGCACCTGGAGGATGGTCAGGATCCTACCACCGACCTGCTGGCTCATGACTGTACGTCAGAGTCCACATCTTCAGTCGTAGAGGAGTCCTTAGAGTCAGGAATAGTGTTGTCGGTGATGAAACCATAGGGAGGAAAAAATGACTTGCCAGAAACGATGCAGCTAATGAATTATGTAGGCCTCCTATCTCCTTGACTTTGAATAGCTCTTTATTCCACGTTCTGCTTGTCACTGCCAGAGCCCATAAGGGACAGACTGAGCCTGTCTGCTGATAGCTGCCCCATGCCTTCATTCTTTACTCCCAACAGTGGCTTGTCTTTTCAGTTCACAACCACACACCAAGTGCCAGGTGAGACATCTTTAAACAGAAGTGTATGTGCCACCCAGGTCTGCTCTCAAAAATCTCTACTTTATGTTGGAAGACTCAGGTACTGCTGGACAAACACGCACATAGCACATACTGACCAGTCTCTAACCACTGCAGTAAAGAGTGTGATGCGTAATAATTTGGGGTCTATGTGCGAAAGTTATTAGATTGATTTAGAAGAGGCTGGAAAGGACTGATAAAGAAGAGCTTTATCTGCCTGGATTCCCAAGGCTCCTGGAAAACAGCACAACACAGTTAGGAGCCTCATGGCCTGCCAGGCTGTTTATCAGAAACTCTCGTTTCTCAGAAGTACAGACCTCACAGTCTACATGCCTTCTCCCAGGTATTGATAACAGTTTGAGTGAATTTAGGCTGGAGGTGGCATGTGGCTGCTGGAGTATCCCCAAGACTGGGGAGATAATAAACAGTGTCAGAAGGAATGCCAGACCAATTGGAGTGGAAAAGAGTAGTATCTGCTGCTGTTGCCCAAGGGACATTCCCAAAACCTCAGCACCCATTGTTCAAACCATTCAGCTTCATGAGTCTTCATGAGGCCAGCCTAGTGGCCTAGGCTGGTGCAAGCCTCGGAAAGCTCTGTGTCATGCTGTGGGCTTTGTTGAACTTGGCCCCAGTTGCGTTTGGAGGTTACATCTGTGCTGTGTGTAGGCAACTCTGAAGTCCAAACTGAACAAATAGAAACTTCCAGGTACCGTTTTTAGAGAAATTGGCAGCAAGGCAAATACTTTTAAGACCTTGGTTTAGTTATGTATGCTGAGGTCCCATTTGTCCAAGCTAACCACACAAAGCTGGAGCACAAAGCTGAGGGGAAGAGAGGAAGGTATCTTCTGCTTGTTAATGCACAGGAGTGAATATTTCTGAGCAATAATATACCACATACAGTGAAGGAAAGCTGAAGATAGTAAAAATCGTAAAAGACAGTTGACCTAGAAAGGAGCAAATTGTTGCCACACCTGAAGAAGCATTAAGATGTTTTGCTCTACGTAACAAACACCAGTGAAGCACTCCAGAGAGTCACAGACACAGCCCAAAACTCCTTACATGGAAGGGATTGGAGTAGAAAGAAGCCAGCGAAGGATTGGCGAGTTCTTCTGGTTACATCAAGTGGGCAAGTAGCAGCCAGGAAATGAAGGAGATGAGGGTGTGTGTGGCATTGCTGAGCCTCACACCATCTCTGTGGCACCTTGCTGCCTAGGTACAGCATAACAGGGGTGAGCCAAGGTGAGGAATCCCTGGTTTCCATCAGAACACACAGGAGGAAAATTAGACCTGTAGCTGGGAGAAGGGGCCCTGAGGCTTGAGTGATGTGGGGACACTGATGCTAAGGCAGAAAATGGGAAAGAAGTAGAGGAACACTTAGGGGACACAGAAGGATGAGCAGTGAGCACAGGTAAGCAGGAGCCCTCCTCCTGGGATCCAGCCAGCCACAGGGATGGGGGCAGAGCAAGCAGTCCATCCGCTGACAGAGGTCAGCATGTGAGACCAGGCAAGAGGAGACAGTGGGACTTATGATCACAAGCACCCCAGCGGCCTCCTGTGTGGAGAGGCTGAAACCTAGCTGTGATGTGTGTGATTGGGGTGACCTTGAGTGACAGGCAGCACCCAAGGAGGTGCTTGATAGTGACTCAACAGGAGAGGTGGGGGCAGCTGCAAGCGAAGGGAAAAATATACCCTTGTCTGTTAGTTTTGTTAATGTTTAGTATCACTGTGCTTCACGTGGGTGTTCTTTGAGGACATGACAAGAGAAATTGACAAGATATGGTTTGAGGACAGGGACCCACAGGTTTACTGGAAGCAGGGTTCTGTTTCTGTAGAGGCAGGGAGTCTGCTTCTATCTAGACGATTCTCTAGGACTAGGATTTGATTGACGGAGGCCTTGTTTGGGTCCTGGAAAATAATCTGACTTCTTTATTTACTAAGTTTTTTAAAACTCCCCTATTTGTGCATATTCACATGTGAAAGCAAAACGTTGTTGGGATTGTTCTCTGATCTTAACTTTAAAATCGGAATTGAAAACAACTGAGATTTGGGACCATGAGCACCTGTTCTCTGCTTGCTGCTCCATCGGTGGAACAAGGGCATCTGGTACAGAGCAAAGTAGATGTGTGGGGTCTACTGATATTAACACACGTGCTTAAAATTATTCTACAGAAATGTCCTGTTAGGGACAACAGCTCACTTTCCGTGCTTGTATAAAGCCGAAAGGAAGGCTAGCCCTTAAACGTGATCATTGTAAGTACATATTTGAAGTAGACAACTTTTAAAATGGATTATTGTTTTCCACTGTGCCTATGGAAGTGCTTTGGACATTATTTTTCACTTCCCTTTGACTATTCCCTTGTATTTTGGCCGTCATGTTCTGCCTGACACTATGTTTGAATTTCCTGCCCGGTTCAGGTTGCATGTGTGGTGCGCGGTGGTCCTGGGGCAGAGGCCTTGTGGACATCGTGCATAACCAGACACTGCACTGTTAAACGCACTGTGGGAATGAGCTCAGGTTAAATTCCACGTGGCATTTAACACATGCATTCCTCATGTGCTTCCACCTGGTCCCAACAGAGCTGTGATCTGGAGCAGCAGAGCATCGTGCACGTGGTGCAGAGACCATGGAGAAAAGGTGAAGAAACCAGCGCATCCGGAGGGGACAACCCCAGAAGGACCTTGGGGAGCCTCGAGAAGGGGCCCATGAGCTTAACACGGGTGGACCTGAGCAGCGATGTGCTCCCAACGTACTCTGTGGGGCTGGCTGTTATTCTCGACACCAACAGCAACAGTGGCTTGGCAGCAGCCGGAGTTCCAGGTAACTGAGATGAGTCTAAGACCTTGGTGCATCTTGTTTGTTGAGCAAAACAACCCTGGAAAATGACCTCATTACATATGCGTCTAGCTGATGAGTTTTGGAAGGAAATTGACAAACCACGGGGAAGGGTGTCCCTCATGAGAAGGGAAGAATGTGGAGGTCAAACCTGAGATGAATATACCTAACCCAATGATGTATGACAAACAGGGTCACAATAGTGCGATGTATGTGACAGGTGGATGGAGAAGATGTTGGGACCATGATGGTAGGTTGCTCTTTTCATATAGTTTTTGATTGCTTATGCTTTGTTGATGTCGAGAAGTCTTAAACAGTAGGCAAAGCAAGAGGCCATTTGAGTAGTGTGCAGCCATACATTCTGAGCCTTGTGAGGTCAATGATAACATTATTGTGGACGGGTGCTCCCTACCTCTGTGCTGACACCCGATTTGGTTTGTTTTGATAAGGATCAGAGTGATTATTTTATTTTTTTGACAGTATTAGTACATTTCCCCTACTCTTTTATTCTCTGATTTAAATTGTCAAAAGTACACAATGACTCATTTGGACTGTGAATATGTTTGGCAGAAGATCAAAATAACAACAAATATTTCGGTGTAGAGTGATTTCCCTTCCATATGCTCTAGCTCAGGACATAAGCAGTTTTGATCTGGGCTGGCTTTCACAGAGCCAAAGCGATTGGGGAGCAGCAAGATGGAAGCCTAAAATAATGACAGATACCTAGTACTACTGGGGGAACTGAGGAGTCTGGGTCCTTGTTGCCAAAACAGGAAACAAACCAAGGCTGGAATATAGACTAAGGCTGATGAAAGGAAAAGATTTACGGGCAGAGCCCACCTACCCCCTTCGGGAGCTGCTGTGCTAGACAAGGAGCTGCTGTGTTCACAGGGGGCTCAGCCAGATTCTTTGGTGAGGTTTCCCCACCTCGCATCTCGCCTTTACGAGAGGAGACCCTTTTCTGTGTTCTGGAATGATCTCTATTGGCAAAGGTGCAGTTGGGAAAATGTTGTCTAACATGCATTGAAGGCTTCATTAGCCTCTGGAGTCCATGGCAGGGGTTCTCTCTACTGCCATTGTGAGACATAGTTTGGTCAGACAGCCCCTCAATCTGATAAAAACCAGTTTTGTTTGTTTGCTTGTTTGTGCGAGGACATTGTTGGGTTCTGGCTGCTTAATCACTGATGGCCAGGCCTCCTTCTTATCAAGAGACAGTTGTGACATCATTAATGTTTGGGACACAGCAAGTCTCCCACCATTAGCCAGCTGCTTATCTACCATGCCTTTCTAAGTTGCACCTCTGTCCATCCTGCCTCACTCCTAAAATCACTAAATTAAATGTAATGAATTTTTGAAACCATAGATGAGCTTGCAAAAAATAACACACAATTTCCAGGCACAAGTGAAAGCTGTATTTAAACAGAAGAATGAATAAATTCAGAATTTAGGATCTCAAGGTGTTTCTATTCTAGTAATCTCGGTGCAGTTATAGAGAGGAGAGAGGCTCTGCTTCCAATATACTGGGCACCAAAGAGGCTTAAAAAAAAACCTTTAAATATGGGGGAAAATGTAACAAATTAACAAATTAGGGAAAGTTAGATAAATAGAAATCTACACAGTCCCTATGTGATGCATAATAAGGAATGAGCAGAAGTATTGAATCCAGGCTGGAGACACATCCAGTATATCTAGAACTCTGCAGGATCCACTTAGCTGTCCTGGCATGGATGCCTCCAGAGAGAAGCAAATCTTACTAATTTTACTAATGGGCAATCAGACAAGAAAAAACACACCATGAGCATAAGGAAGTCACAATATGCCAGCCCCAAATACCAAAACATGCCACGCCCAAAGCATTCTTCTGTTGCATAAGGTGGTTCTGAGATGGTTATTCTGAGTCAACGCCCACACGGGGAGGAGCTCTAGGAAGGGTGGAAGTCATGCCTGTCAGGGAAGTTGACTTCTCCATTTGCCAGGGAGGCTGCAGATCAGCCTCAGGGTGAGGGGCACTGAGTCCTCCTTTTCTCCATGGAGAAGGCAACAACCTGAAATTTCCCAGCGTGCGTTGCCTGCACTTTTCCCAGCTCCCTCCCCACAACTGGCTCGCACCACACCCTTCTTTGTTTCACATTTGGCTAAGGGTGATGTTGAAGGCTACCTCTTTCATGTTTACGCATGCTTTCTCAGTGTGTCACATAAAAATTTGAAGCATACATATTAAAAAGTGGCTGTAGTTTTGTTCTCTCTTCTTTACAGGGGTTCCCAGATGAAAACTACAAAGGGCAAAGCTCTTATCTTTTGCTTCTCTATGCATGCAGTGAGCATAGACTGGAAGCCCGTTCTCCATTAAACGTGGCAAGGGAAAGCAACAATCTGAAACAGAAAACAAAGCAACCACACTTTGAATTAATTAAAGTATAAAAGGAAAGATTTGAAGCCTAAAAGGGAAAACAGACATTCAGGGAAATATATAGCTAATGAAAAGAATATCATTTTAGCAATTATAATTAAAAATAAAAACTTAAGGATAATTAAAATAGAAAATTGGACCATGCCAAAGAGAGAATTCGTGAACTTTAAGATGGATGTAAAAGAATGTCCCAGAATGTGACACAAAGTATAAAGTAAGAAGAGTTGAGTAGAGCAGGAATTTGCAGTAGAGGCCCTAACATATTCTTCTCATAGAAAATCTGTTTTAGAAAGACAGACAACAGAGAAGAGAGACAATTTGCTAAGAAAATGACAGCATTTTCACTATGCATACCTCTGTACACAGCTCCAAGCAAGATAAATAAAAAAGCATGTAGTTAATCTTAATTATAATTAAAAATAAATTTTCCTTATAAAGGAATCACAACATAAGGCACAAAACTACAAATCTTAAAATAAATTGGAGATGAAATTACCTATGTTGAAACAATAACTTGAAGGACTTCTACCATCCCCAGAGGCCACCAAAAGCCTCATTTTATTCATTGAGGGTTAATGAATTGAAATTCAGTGAGTTGAAAAGTGGGGTAGTAAAGCAAAGTTTAATAAAGTGTGTTTCAGAAGAAGAAATTAGAAAGAGCATAGATCCCCTTCCTCCTCATTGAGGTTTTAATCTCTAAATAATCAGGGACATTGTCTGTGACATCTCTGGGAGTGGTACACCTTGGACTTGACTTGACACCTTTGGACTTGACACTTGACACTTCAGTGTGCACTGTGCCTCCTTTTGGCAGGGATGGAGGGCAGGGCGGCCAAACCACAAGGCTCATTACAATCATTGCATAATGAGCAGGATTCCTGTGGTATCAAACAGACCCTAAACTTGACTGTTCTGTTTTTCTGAGTTCCCATTTTACCTTATTTTTCCCCAAAACATGTATTTATTTTTATTTGAAAAGCAGATTTTACCAAGATAAGGAGAGATAGAGGAGGAAGGTGTTGCATTGTAGTTCACTCTCCAAATGGCCAAAGTAGCCCAGGCTGAGTTGATCTGAAGCCAGGAGCCAGGAGCTACCTCTGGGTCTCCCAAGCAGATAGAGGGTCCCAATGATTTGGGAGGGCTATCTTCTGCTGCTTTCCCAGGCCATTAGCTGGATCAGATGTGGAGCACCCAGCACACAAGTTGATGCCCACATGGGATGCTGGCATTACAAGCAAAATTTAATCTGCATGCCACAGTGCCAGCCCCTGCGTTCCCGTTTTGTCAAGGCACTTTAACTACAAATTATGCTGTGAAGTAGGAGTTTTGGGTGGGCCTGGGCTGAGAGCAAGGTCGTTTCTTATAGTGCTGGAGGAGGCTTGTAAGCCTTCACCCTTTATCTCAGGTCTGACTTTCTGCCTGACATGAACAGAGTAAAAGAAGAGTGGAAGTGGCCTAATATCAAATGCCAGGAGAATGCCTTATAGCTTAGACTTCTGTGTTCAACAAAACTATCATTCGGGAGTAATTGAATCTCAGGGTTGAATCTTTCTCAGTTTGGAAGAACTGTTTGCTTTGGTATTCATTGCAGGAAAAAAAAAAAAAAGATACTGAACCCAAGATAGAGAAATGCAATGCAAGGGGTGTTGCTTAGCAGATAAAAGGGTGAATGTGATTCAGATTATATGAATATACATTTTAAAATGATCTTGATTAGTTTCATGTATTCAAAAAGAGCATGAGAACCAAAGTAAAAAGTATGAATCATATCCAAAAGAAAACTACATTGAACAGCCAGCATGGGAAGATGCCACCATGCAATGGACCATTCTGAGTGTGGGTTAGGGTGCAGGACACCCCTGGAAGCCAGGGTGCAAACAGCAGCTGACTCAACACAATAGAGGATGTCTATCTATAGCCATCTATGGATAGCATATATCAAACAATATGATATATAATATATACAATAGAGGAGACAACAGACATATAATATCCTCTATAGATATCGATACATGTATTTATATAATACATACAATAGAGGATATCTATATATTTATATAATGCACCATATATTTATGTATTGCAATATATTGTATGTAATATGTTAACAAAATGTAGTATATATAATAATCAGTAAAATGATGGTGATGCAGAATTTCAGTATTTAAAGCCCCCAGCATTGTTATATTTTTCATGGATATAATGACCATCATAATATATTCTGTCCAAACAGAATATCATTGAGAATTAAAGCTGACACTAAAATGTATTGAAACTAAATTCTGCATATTAAAATATCTACTTATTTCTCTCCTTCACTATCTGTAAAATCTGCCTTTCAAATAAAAATAAATCTTAGAAGATATTTTTTCTTAAAAATAAAAAATTCATGTTCTTTAAAACAGTCAAGCCTTTATATTCAAGTGAATCATTTGAGCAGAATAAGCATCGTGGGCAGATATCCTTATTCATTCAGCACTTTCTCTGCATACCTGATTCCACCATCTTATCCCACTATTTATCTGAAAGTCTTATTATTTCATCACAAAATTACCTTTAGTTATCCCATTTTTCT